CAGCGCCCGCGCTTCCAGGGCCACGATCCATAGTGAAGAGGAATGCTTGCGCACTCCCAGGGCCACAATTTTGTTCAAAGTACGCCGCCCCCGCGCTCCCAAACTCACGATCTCTTAAATTACCCTGCCCCCGCTACCCCATAGACTTATGGTCGGGGGCCTCCCTCCAGGGAGGAGATCTTCCAAAAGAATAAAAGTACTCAAAATGTTATCACCTTGAGGGTTTTGAAATGTTATCGTTTTTGAATGTTTTTTCTCAGCAGGGGTTGTCCCCCGCGAGGTCGCCTGGGTAACGAGAAGGAGGCTCGCTGCCAGCGCGCCCCGAATGTAAGCGCACGCAATCACTAGGGTTGCAAAGGCGCGAAGGACGCGCACTTGCATCTGCCGTTCGGGGTAGAACGGGCAGCCCTCGAACGGGGATGTCAACTGCTGTTGCCGCGGGCACGGCGCACGATAGCAATGCGCACTCTGGCCAACGCGTGGTCCAAGAGGGCGACGAATGCGAGATTCACTTAGGTTCCATGCATCACCACTTTGTTGCGCCTCCAAGACGCGCCGCGCTCGCCGCTGCGCAACCCGCCCCATGAATCAGCATCGCGGCGCGTCGCTCGACTCGCGCGGCGCCAATAGCGGGGACCCCGCGCTGATAAATGCATTCAGGTACATTACGTAACAAAATGTCATCGCCGAAACCTGGAAGGCGCAACTTGCAGTGCGCAACGTGATCGGTGGATCCTACGGGGGCGCATCGCATCGGTCGCGGCGGGAGGAACCGCAGGTCGCGCATTTTTGCCCCATGGGGCCATGCCATCACAAGGGGCAGTGGATGGTGGCTCACCGCCCCGCAAGTGCGCCCCCCTCCCCTAGGCGCTCGCAAGGCGCTGGGCACCCGCTGGTGGTGCGGTGGGGCGAATGCTCATGCCGCGCTCACGCGGTTGGAAACGCGTCGCGCCCTCTCTCTACTAGATACAAATCGCCTCGCAGGCGCGAAGGCTAACTGACGCCGCTCCGTCGCCCGACGGGCTACGCCAACGCAGGGACAACGAAATTAACGGCGTTGTCGCGTGGGGCCGCGCCGACACAAGTTGCAGGTGAAACGGCTTCATTGCAACGTGAGCGCGCCTTCAATGTCACCGAAGAGCGCTAACCCTGCGGGAAAAGCGCGGGGTTATAATTACTGCAGCACCGACGCGACAGACCTCCTGCCTGCGAACGAAGTCCATGGGGGGATATGGGGGTGGCCATATGCCCGCGGGGCCCATCTCGTTACCTAGCGCGGCCAACCCGACGCAAAGGGGCAACGGATCGCGCAGTGTTGTCCAATGGGGATGTGCCGACGCAAGGGGCAATAAATTCTCGTTCGCTGCCCATTGGGTGCGCAAGTTTGGCCCCTCGCAGAACGCTGGGCCACAATTAGTGGCGTGGCGTGCGTGTAGTCTTGCTGCGCCTTCGCGAGTGGCAACTGGTTGCTTGCCAGTGCAGCACGGGGCAGCGCCAAAGCAAAGGACGACATGCTTCGTCGGCACGCGGCGGCGCAGGGGGGGCGGCAGGCGGGGGGAGCTTGCCGCATGGGGCATCGCAGACGCATACGAACAGAGGATGATGATTCGTGGCCTCGTCGGCGCCAACATCGGTGGCTTCGCGCATGGCTGGGCCCGCTCATGCGACGCAACGTGGCGAGTGGACATGCAGCGCCGACTTTAATGGGCATACGGTTTGCGGCCGCTGCACATAGAAACGCGCAGACGCCATGGCAGAAAGCACGTCGCCACACTGCCGCGCAAAACTGCGCCGACGCAACTAGCAACGCATGCGGCAGGGGCGCAACGTGTGGCTGCGTCGACACAGGATGGCAACGACCGTTTGCTTCGTTGCCCCGAGAATACTCCCGTCGGAGCCCTCGCAGAACACAGGCCCACCCACCAGCTCCCAGGTGGCGCAACGCTGCGAATAGTTGCTCGGCGCTCATGAAGTTGGCAAACAGTTCGTTGCGCTGCCACGAATGCGCCGAGCCGACGCACAAGGGCCGCGGAACCCGCGACATTGCCTCATGGGGCTGCGCCGACGCGACGGACGGCAACCTTGGCGCCGTTGCACCATATGGCCATGCCGCCGACGAAGAGACAACGTACCCCGCGCGGTTGCCGCAATCGCGTACCAAGATATTTGCAAGACGCGGGGCCCGCAAGTGACGTCTCGGTGGATGTGGTCTGGCCGTGCCGACGCAGAAGACACGCGGCATGCTAGCCGCCAGCCGCTGCGCAACTGGGTCGCAGCGGCGCACGGGACTGCGGATTTCCTTCCTGCGCGCAACGACGCAACGCAGACGCGAAGCCGACAAGTCTCGCCCAGCGGCCACATGGCGGCAACGACGCGAGGTGGCACACGAAGACGATGCCTCGATCGCGCGGGGGCGCCCTATCGGTGCCATCGTGGACGCTAGCCCCCCGCAGAGCGCGCCGCAGCGAGACCATCCTGCCGCGCCGATGCGAGCAGCAAGTGCTCAGCAACGCGCCCCAGAAAGTTTGCCGACGCAAAACGAGATCTGCTTTGGCGTCGGTGCCCAAAGGGCGTGGCTCCGAGAGAAAGGACGGAGCGCGCTGCAGCGGCGCATCAGTTCGCCGCGCCGACGCAGGGGCAACGGGCGCAGAATCATTGCCCCATGCGCGCCGCGCTCGAGGTCCTCGAATGGCGCTGGGCACCCGCGCGCAGAGCAGCGAAGCGAGAAGCCCTGCCGCGCCGACGGACTTGCTAATGCGGTTTGCTTCGGTTGTGGGCGGAGCAACACAGACGCAACCTGCAACGGGCATTTATATTGCGGCACAATGCGGCTGCGCCGACGCAAAGCGGTGCAGAACGCGCATTTCGTTGCCCAATGCGACACCACCGACGAAACGGTGACACCTCGGCACGCACCGTGGCTCACATGACGCTCCGCTCGGATCACTCGCACGATGCGGGGACCCATAGCGAGCGCGCAACGGGGCCAACGAGCGCGCACAACTGCCACGCGGTATTCTCCACGATTGTCGCGCAGATGGCTGCCCTCCGCAAGCAAAGTGTGCCGCAAAGCGAGCGCACGCGCCGCGCTAATGCAAAACGCAACGCGCCCTGATTCGCGGCCACATAGAGTCGCGTCGGCCCAAGGGGCCACAGGCGTCGTTCCGCGGCACTGCGGTGTCGCGCCAACGCAAGGGCAATACGCGTGCTTGCTGCGCCCCACGGGGCAACGCCGACGCGAAGGGTAGCGGCCGTTGAATCGCCGCCTCTCTGGTCCCACCCACCCCCCGCAGCGCCCCAACGGGCGATGTCAACCTTGGGTCGCTCTGCGAGCGGTGATGCTTTCGCAAGGCCCAATGGGTGGGCCCCAATGTGCGCGACCTATTGGTTGCGCCCTGTGGCGATTGGCGTGGTGCCTTGAGGGCTGGGCTTCGGGCCTGAGGCTTAACACATGTGCCATATGCAGGTGCACGCCAGCCAACCAGCGAACCAGCCATCCAGCCAACCACCCATCCAGCCAACCAGCCATCCAGCCAACCAGCCAACCACGCAAGCCAACCAATATCAGTCCAGCTAACCAGCCAACCAGCCACGTGCAAAACCTTTCACATGTGCCATAGTGGTGCTACCATACGGGCTGGACCCGATGTGCGGGACCCTCTGCAGACTTCCTCAATATGTAGGCCAGTCGCCCTGTGGGTGGGGACGCGAAGCCCGTGCCGCCTGCTTATGCTAGGACTGACACTGCTGTGCCATAGGCAGGTACACACCAGTCCACCAGCCAACCAGCCAAACCAGCCAATCAGCCAACCAGCCAATGATCCAGCCAGCCAACCAAGCAACCAACCAACGACGCCAAAAGCGATGATGGCCAGACGGTCTGGAACGGTGATGGCGATGATGACTGCGAGCACTCCCGTGAAATGCACGAGGTCAGCCCCGTGCTCGACGTGTCCCCGAGTGTAGATCTATCGAACCGTACACAGTCGCGCTGGACGCCGACGCCAGCATCTTTCCTCACAGACGTGGGCGAAGTAACATGGCACAGGCAACGGTTGTGATATCAACAGGGTGACAATGCATCGTGCTGGTGTTCCCAAGTGCGCAATATCATTGAGAGCTCCTGGTGCGTGCTTCCAATGCACCGTGTAGCACAGCGCAGCTCGCACTTGGCCGCACAATATACGCCCTGCGCCGCGGCGCATATACAAGATGGGCGAGGGCGCACCAGCAGGGCGTCGATAAAACTGGGCTTGTGAGCGAACGGCCTTCCGCGTTCTGAAAGACCTGAAGGCCCGCTGGCCCCATTCGGGGCACCCAACCAGGCTCAGAGGGCTTCAGAAGACTTACTTCTCAGAAGGCTGGCAGGCTTCCCAAGAAGCGCCCCAGGGAGGCTTCGGCTTCGGCTTCCCAGGAAGGCGCTCTCAGAAGGCAGGAGGGCTTGTCTCAGAAGGCAGGAGGGCTTCCCAGGAAAGCTGCCAGAAAGGCTTCCCAGGAAAAACCAAAAGCATCACCTTCCCATAAACAAAAAAACAACCAACATGCATGCCCATACAATGGCAAGCGAATGCGCTCATACGCGCAGACATGCATGCATTAAACAACGCATCAATGTACGCATCCATGCATACATCCATGTGTGCATCCACGCATCCGTCCATGTATGCATGCATCTATCTATGCATCCATGCACACTCGCCGTCACGTGCGACGGCGTTCGGAAACTGAGGCGAAGCCTGACGATATATGGTGAGACTCTCTGGCTCCAGCGCGACTTAGAACCAGCAGGTAATATGTTATGTTCGTGTAATCGATCATTGTGTAATACTCCACACTGTATGGTTGCATGTGTCACTGGATGCGCGCCATTAAAAACTTTGCTTCGAAGGGAGCCATCACCGTACCATGCTTGTTCGAGGTGGTCTGGCGCGTGCCACACGCATCACGACATGCAAAGCCTGAGTGGGCGTTCGCTGGAGCGGCGCCGCCGACAAAGGCAATCAAGGGAACGTCTGCAGCTTCATGGCAGCCTGCATGCGCCGCACGAGCAAGGCTGGGAGCACGTCCTTCGTGATGCCGTTCTTCGCGTGGCTCTGAACCTCGGCCAACGTCGCACTGCGCATCGACGGCTTATCCATCGATTTGTCCAAGTAAATCCTCATGAGCCTGTGGGCGGCGTCGGCAACGCGAGCCTGGACGAGAGCCCCATTCATATCCAGCCACTCCGCGTCGTCGCCACCGAAGATGTTCTTGATCTCGGCGTACTTCTCCTTCTCGACCTCGCAGTTAGAGATGAGCTTAGACAGCCCGTCCGCGTCTAGCTTCAGCAGCGAGCCCTGGCACGATTCGCAGAAGGCGTCCCAATCTTTGTTTGTATCGGGGAGGTCTCTAGACCAAATGTTGTCGCTGCCCTCGGCCCTGGCCTGAGACACGCGGAAGAGGTTCTCGATGAGTGGGGCGTTTTTGGTGACGAGCTCGGAGATGATGGCGACCAGCCTCCACGAGCGCCTTGACGCACATGTCGGATAACTTCTCTGCCACTTCAGATACAGGAGCACCCTCGAGAACGACCGACTTGCAGGATCCCTTCAACGATTTGACGCTGCGAGCCAATTGGAGTGCAGACCCCATCTCCATGGCGATGATGTGCTGAACATCGACTTCCTTCTTATCTGCTTCCGCAGGCCGTACCCTCTCCAGCACGTCCACGATGTACTTCGTAGTGGTGTGCAGGGTGCGGACGCATTTCTTGTTCTCCTCTCTGCAGGCGTGCATGCACCCACTCAAAACCTGGTACAGCGCGCGGCACACAGCAAGTATGTCTGTGAAAAGGCACTGTGGCCCCCCGTCCGGATCGTCAAGGAGATTGGCCATCGTGCGAAATATACTCTTGGCGATCTTCAAAAGGGCGGCCTCGCCTTTCTCGAACTCGTCCGCGGAGAGCAGGCCGCTGCGCTCATCCAAGACCTGCACAAGCTTCTCGAGAGGATCAGCGTCGCGTGCGGATTCGGAAGCACTGAGGAGTTCTTCGAGAAGATTGCAAACTGTCGCTGTGAAATTCTTGTTGACACTGCTGCTCAAGATCTCGGCACAACCCTGGATGAACATGTCGTACTGCTCGAAGGTTGGGAACGCCGTCCAGCAACTCTGGAAAAGGCGCTGTGCGTCAGTCAAGAGTTTAGCCGATTTATCTTCATCAGTGGTCGGTGCCTGCTTCAGCTTGTCGAACAACGTTGTTCCAGTAGAATGGATGAGTTCCTCCAGTTTCTCACACGACTCTTGCGGGAAGAGCATCGCGTACTGCTTAAAGTAGTTCAACGCTTCAGTCATCGTGCTTGTCAACTCCTCGATCTCGGCGGTATCGTCCAGGGCAGTGAGCCGCACGACGAGCCTCTGCACTGCTGGGCATTTGTCCCTGATGATATCGATATTCTGAATCATACGAGAAAGTCTACTACCCAAGAACTCATTGCGGTTGACTGCACAACCGATGTCCTGCAATACAGATTTTCCAGTTGTCTTCTCAGATGCCTTGTACAAGGCCTCCACGTCGCAAAGGTAATCGAACCTGGTATCAGTCGTGATGCCGACGCAGAGCACGGCCTCGAAAGCGCGAAAGCTCAAGTAGAGGCTGTCGCATAAGGACATGACTTCGTGATGGACGTCGACGTCGTCGGGCAAATCCAAAAGAGTCGTGAGAGTGCGGACCGCCGACATGTGGGATGATATGTTCTCGTTGTTGGTTGACGAAATGATCAGGCACACGAACTTCTGAACGAGGAACTTCGCCATCGTGTGGGCCTGCACGGCGCCAGTCAGGATCGGAGCAATCGGGTGGATCTGAGGGCGCAGGGCATCAAACATTGCTGGCTCATCAGCTGTTGCTGCACCTTCTGTACGCCACGGCGTGACGCATGCCGCAAGGTCCTTGATGTCCGTCTCCCTAATGCTCATGCCCGAGGTAGACGCGGTAGCCAGCTCAGTAGCTCTCTTGCCCACGAGCGCAAGCAGCCCCACACCAAGGGGGGGATGCTCGATCACGCACATCTCCAGGTACGCCTTCCTAATGTCTGGCCATGCCGTAGAGGGGACTTCTGCTGGAGAGATCTTCAGGAGGACGCCGATGCGAATCAGGTGCTTCTGGAGCTTCGGAGCTGTGTCATCGTTCGGGAACTTCAGCTTGAACTTAGCGGCGCACTCACTAGCGTGGTGCACGTCGCGCTTGTCAGTAGTGCCCAAAAGCGCGTGCAAGACCTTCAACTTCTCGATCCAATAAGTCGGGTTCTTGCCACCCCTGGAGGTGCGGTTCGCCCTTGCTGCAGACACCGCCGCGCTGCCAGACCCGCTCGACCTGACCGACGAAGCTCCGTCGTCATCGTTGTCGGAGACGCCGTCATCATCATCAGCCCTGGTGCTCCAGTCCATGGCCACCTCGAACACGGCCTTCTTCAAGCCATCGACGGCGATGTGGATCTTCACGGTGCGCTGAGGTGGCTTCGTCACAGGCACCCTCGGGCTCGAAGGAGCTGGGCTCGAGGGCGGGCGCGAAGGCGGCGCAGAACCCGTGCCCGCCACAGCGGCCCCAGCCGCAGCCGCAGCGGAGCCAGATCCTCCGGTGTCCATCGGGGAGCCACCACTCCCCGATGCAACGCGGGACGGCGCTGGGGATGCGAAGGGGTCGACCTCTGCCCCGTCGTCGGACGCGACGTACTCGTAGTCTTCGTCCTCATCACCAGGGCCACCAGGGATCCTGCCCGAGCGGCGGGCAAGGCGGCCTTTGTGGGCCCTCTCGCCCCTCGCAAGAATGTCGGCCCACGGAGTCGCGCCAGTCTCCAAGAAAGAAAGGAAACCCTTGGCGTGCGCACCCGTCGCGTCGTGGTCCCTCGCGTGCTTGACTGCGAGGCCCCCGAGGCCTTGGACGACCTGGCCAGCCAGGGGCAAGGTGACTTTCCTCGAATCGACTCTCGCCTGCACGCCAACCCTTATCCTGATGTCCCCTGCGGCGCCTGGCTTGTCGTTGAAGATGTAGCCCTTCAACTCTTGGCCATCCAAGAATGTGAGCTTGAGGGGGTCGCCGATCTTGAGCTGCCTCGGGGTGCTCTTCTGCGTCTCCCTGCTGATGTTAGCCGCTGGCATCCACATGCCCTCGCGGAAGATCTCGACGATAGTGCCCGTGCCGTCCGAAACCTCGACTGGCGCCAAGGCTTGCGATGCTGCCTGCATGTTCGGGTGGAGCCTCCTGGCGTCGTCGACGCTGTCCTTGTGCGCGCCTCCTGCATGGTACGACGCCGCCCAGTCATTCCACTTGACGAAGAGCTGTGCAGGGCCATACACGGTGAAGCAGACCAAGCATGCGTCAGGTGGCGCGCCAGGCGTCTTGGGCCAGTCGACGTCCTGGTCGCTCTTCCGGCACACCAAGCACACCCGAATAGTAGGATTAGCACCTGCTTTTGAAGCAGCCGCTTCGCCCCTGGCCCTCTTGGGTGGTGGCGGCCCCATGCCAGCAAGGCCCTTGTCCTTCTTGCCGCCACCCCTGCCAGACATCGCGGCTACTCCAAGGAAACAGAGACCTGGAAGCGCAGAGTACGTCGTACGTGTGCGTGTCAAGCTGAAAGCTGGTCACTGCAGCCCAAAAACTATAACGTATGATTAATGATTATTGTGCTCCAAGATCCCCGCTCCTGGCCCTTTTGGAAATTGTTATTGCTCCGAGTCCCTCTCTCGGGGTGAGGACGATTGTGCTCCGAGCCCCTCCCTCCCACCCCTCGCTTGGGCTTGCATCTCGAATACGAGATGATGATTGTGTTGATGCATCGCTGGTGCTGGTGCTGGTGCTGTGCTGATAGATGACGGTGCGATGACAGGGGGAGGGGGCCATGCGGATGGGCCGAACGCCGAAGGCCTTTGAGAGGATAGCTGATAGCTGAGACCCTTGGGCCCTGAGAGGCCCTGGACCCTCAGGGGGAGGGGGTCACGCGGATGGGCCGAAGGCCTTTGAGAAGATAACCACTTGGGCCCTGAGAGGCCCTGGACCCTCAGGGGGAGGGGGTCATGCGGATGGGCCGAAGGCCTTTGAGAATATAAAACCCCCTTGGGCCCTGAGAGGCCCTGGGCCCTCAGGGGGAGGGGTCACGCGGATGGGCCGAAGGCCTTTGAAAAGATAGTTGAACCCCTTGGGCCCTGAGAGGCCCTGGACCCTCAGGGGGAGGGGGTCATGCGGATGGGCCGCAGGCCTTTGAGAAGATATCCCCTTGGGCCCTGAGAGGCCCTGGACCCTTAGGAGGAAGGGGTCATGCGGGAGGGGCCCTGAGCGCTGGGCTGCTGAGCTGGCACGGTTGCGGGACTTGCCGCAGGCAGCTCGTCATCATAACCGTCATCGTCATCCTCGTCGGCATCGCCGCTGTCGTCGCCGCCACCGCCTTAGCCATCTTCAAAGACGTAATCATCACCGTGCTCATCATCGCCGCCATCGTCCTCTCTCCCGAAATGACCGCGTCAGGAAAGGAGGCCGTTTCATCGGCGTGAGCCGCGAGCGAGGGCGTCTCGTCGAGGCCAGAGCACGCGCGAGCGTGAGCGCCTTGTCCAGGCTGCACAGAGAGGTGCACTTCCCCCAAGGAGGAGGACGAAGGGTGAGGGAGGAACATAAGCACAGGCAGGAGGTGGAGTATAATCTGAATAGAAAGAGACCGTGGAAGGAGAATGCACCGAGCCTCTGCCAGCACCTTGGCGCGGCGGCCAAACAGAAAGACCAGCCGACCAGCCGAGCGCTCCGTGACATGCGATGCCCACCCTCATCCTTCTGGAGAAGGGAGGAGGGAGGAGGGAGGAGGGAGGGGGGAGGAGGGAGGAGGGAGGAGGGAGGAGGGAGGGCGAGGCGACGGGGAGATGGGCCTCAGCCCACCTCCACGTCGCCTCGCCATCCTCCTTGTCGTCATCCTCATTACCTCATCATCCTCATGGTCATCTTCAACCACCTCATCAGCATGCTGCCACGGGCTCAAGCTCATACTGCCACGGGCTGTCAGCCGAGACTCTTCTCAGCCCCAAGCTGGCGCCTGCGAGGCGTGCTGGGCGGACGGGCCGTCGTCACCTTCGGGGCCGTCGTCACCTTCTTGTTGGCCTTCGCCTGCTGCTTGGTCTTCGCCTGCTTCGTGGCCAAGCTCTTGGCCGTGCCCGCGACCTTATTCACGAACTTGTTCTGGGCCTTGGTCGCGTTCACCACCTGGCGCGAGATGTACGAACGGAGGGCCCTCAGCTCCACCTTCTGACCCTTGCACAACACGCGAAGAAGCTTCAGGCTCTTCACCAAGAGATCCCTGCTCATCGTCTCGGTGGGGCGCCACAGCGCGGACCTGGTCGTCTGAGGAGTCTTCATCAGAAAGATGCGATAGCAAACAAACGGCCGAAGATGAGCGCGGACCTGGTCGTCTGAGGAGTCGGCTTTGAATGGGCCTTGCTCCCAAACGGCCGAGGATGAGATAGCAATAACAATGAGGTCCTAATAGTGCCACAGAATGTCTCCCATAAAGAGCTTGCCCCATACTGTGGCCCCAAGTTTGTCTGGTAGAGATTGCCCAATAATGGTATGTCAATTTCAATGTGGCCCCCATCTTCACATGTGTGATGATAGCCCCCCCCCCCACACGCGGCCTAATCCTTCCCTTCACCGCGCCCATCCGAGGCTAGACACATCGAGGCCAAGCATTGTCCTACCATAACCCAGGGCGCATGGCGTCTGGACACATCGAAGCCAAGCATTGCCCTACCATAACGCAGGGCCTACCCTATCTGAATTGCGCTCCTACCTTAACCTCTTGGGGAGGGGGTGCAAGACTCGACCAAGATATCGGTTTCGAAAAATACCTTATCCGAACGCCCGACCTCCTTATCACCCTCCAGGTGGTGCTACATCCTAGAAGTAAGGGGCGATTGGAGATGGAGTCGAGAAACATAAGGTTTGTGTTTTTGCAGACGGACCAACGGCGCCCTGCTGAGCAATGCGTCTGCCGCCAACTGCGACGCGCCAATGAGAAACAACAACAATGGGCATAGTGCCAAATCGATATGTATGCCGATCCACACGGCCAAACGAACGCACCTCACTTGAGGTTCTTCACCAAGATCCCTGCTCATACTGTCGGTGGGGGCCCGCACTCTCTCAATCAATCAAGCTTGACAGTGACCTTCGGAGGCCCAGACAGCGCTTTAACACACCCATGAGCATCGTACCAGATGCGATCTTCCCCGCCTGGCGACACAGAGGGAGGTGGCGACATCGTGGGACCGTCCCCGAACTCGCACTCGTCGTCGGTGGCCGTAGGCTCGATCCAGTCCTCCTCCATAGTAAATGTCACGTAGTACTTGGCGGCACGCTTGGCACGGCACCTGGAGCACGGGCCGCCTTCGTGGATCAAGTTGTCGAAAACGGGCTTCCCGAAGAACTTTTGTATCCACACGGGCATCGATTCAGGGCTGCCGTACATGATCGTTTGTGAGACCTTCTTCCTGCGCTTGGGGTACTCCATGATCTCGCCCTCTGGATGCTCACGATCATCTCCTGGGCCCGTCGAAGGACGCGGCACCTGCTCACTCGGCTGCGAAGCCGACGAGCTGCCCGCCCCCACGGCCTGCTGGTCCTTCACCTCCAAAATGGCAGAAGGTGGGCGTCGGGTCTCTCGGGGCAATCCGGCCTCGGAAGGACGATCATCTGGGGCAACTCCTTGCGACTCGGGACCCGACAACTCCTTCTGACCCTCATTGACCTTCAACAACTTGCGTTTCTTGTTCATGCGGTTGCCGCCCCTCGTCGGTCTGGCTACATAGTCTGGAAATTGAACTTCAAACGAAGACTCAGGTGAAGAAGGTGGGCGCACGCGGACCATCTTACGAAACGTTATGGAAAAAAAGAAATTCCAGTAGACAGGACCTGCGGCCTTGGGCCCAGGGAGACGATACTTTGATCCAAAACATCCACAAGAGTGGCGAAAGGTAGAAGGAACTCGCTGTGGCAATCTCGTGAGAAGGAAAAGCGAACAAGATGATGCACGCCCAGTTCACGCAGGGTTGTCGCCTCATGGATGGCATCCTCCAAAGGGCCTCTGGAAACTTTTCCTTTTTTCAAAGCCGAGCTCTCGCCTGGATGGAGCTCGTAGAAGCAAGCACGGCTCCTTTTCAAAACAGAACTCCCACACCGTCCAGGGTGCGTGGGCTGGGCGGTTCTGAACGCCCCCTAAGGCCAGTGCCATCATCATCATCATCATCATCATCATAATCATCATCATCCATCATCATCATCATCGTCCAAGGAGGCCACGCACACTCGTTTTACAAGTTTGCAACTGTTGCACAGATATCAGATAGAGGGCGGCTTGTTTTCAAAATGTCGCTCTCGCCTCAGCGCCCGCCCGAGCGAGGTGGCGGAATCGCGCGGCAGCGCAACTGGATTGTTTGCTTTGTTTGGTGCGTTGCTGCCCTCCCCCATGCTCGCACCAGGGATCATTGGGAGACCAGACCACCTGTTCATATTTTCTTTGGCGCGTTGCTGCCCTCCCCCATGCTCGCACCAGGGATCACTGGGAGATCAGACCGCCTGTTTATGTTTTTGTGGTGCGTTGCTGCCCTCCCCCATGCTCGCACCAGGGATCACTGGGAGATCAGACCACCTGTTTAGGTTTTTGTTGCTGCGCTGCTGCCCCACCGCACCGCTTGAGACATCATCGCAATCTTCCCAAACACCCGAAGAGCACCCAAGAGAGAGCCGCACGGCAGCGCTGAGACCCCTGGGCCCTGTAAGGCCGAGGACCCCAGTGGACCCGCACGGCTGAGCAGACAATCGCGGCAGACCAGCAAGGCAGACCAGACTGGCAGACCAGCGCGGAAGACCAACAAAGCAAACTAGCACAACAGACCGACACGGCAGACCGACACTGCAGATCAGCAGCGGGGCAGACCAGCACGGCAAACCAGACGGGCGCGGCAGG